CACCCACCCCAGTGCACGAACTTCGTGCACCGGGCTACTAGTACTTAAAATAATTATCTTAGCCAATTTACTGAAGACATCTCCTTTCAAGTTTCTTTTTAATACTATGTTATACAGTTTTAGCACTAATATAAACCTGCTCTTCTAAGCCCTAGAATACTGGCTGTTGATTTTTGTTTGGAAAGTTACATTTTTGTTTCAAATATAACAACTATTATTTAAACTTGTTTTCATTAGAGGCAATGCTTCAAATTAAGTATTGTCTTCCCCTTTTAAGATAAGAAAACTTGGCTAAGTTCTAAAAGTGTAAATTAAAATTAAATGTACATATGGAATACCATACGGGGAATTCATAAAACTAAACACCCTATAAATGGAGTGACAACTCACTCCCTGTCATCATGTGTCTTCTCTCATGTGCCAGTTTTCATCATCCGTTAGAACATTTGCCCTTTTTATTTGCATCTTCACTAGATAAATGGTAAGGGAAGCAAGAATAAATTAAATTCTAATTACTCCATTTGCCAGTTGTAGAGAGCTCTGAAGGAAAAAGCCCTCTAATTCATAGTTAAAGTGAAGTGTAAGAATTTTCTGTGGCTTTCATTTACTCCCCTTTCTCTTCCCCTTCCCACTTACCATAATCAAATAGCTAACATAATGCTTATAACATGAATCTGTAAGCTAAGAGCTATTGGGATTATTTACCTCTTTTTTATTTTCTTGGTAAGAGATTTCTGTCCAGTAGCATTGTTTTCATTTTCTGAAATTCTCAGGTCTTAGTCACATTATTAACCTATTCCTTCAGAAATATTTTGTTGGCTAGATATTTATTGTTGTTGGTCAGTTGGTGTTAATCATCTGAGCGAAAAATATTTGCAGTATAATGTTGTAAAATATCATTGGACACTTGAAATTTATCTCCTTATTTCTAGATACTAACATTGTGTCCAACTATCTTGGTTTGTTCCTCTTGCAAGATTAAAGCTACTGCTTTTTCTTATGTGATAAAGACTATCTCTTACTTGTCATGTTACTTCATGTGACATTACTCTAAAATGACCCTGTGAACAGTATCTGTTGGAGATATTGCTAGATAAATACATCGAATGATTTCACTTTTTGAGATTGTGGCTTTTGCTCTTCTGCTGGTGAGGCTCATATTTATATGGACAACCTTAAATCTGC